CACTTCTGGGAGGTCGGCAAAATCAGCCAATTCACGACGTTTACGGTGGTCCAATGGCTTCAGTTATTGAGTGAGAACAATTTTATACGGATGCAAGGCCAAATGCTTACTGAAAATCCGAAATGTTGTGGTTTGAGGCAATCCCAATTCTTGAACTTGCGTAACACTTTGACTTATTGGCACTTAGACATTATGTAAAGAAAAGCGAGCACAGGTGSGACGACTATTGCGACCATAAAATAGCAAAAGCGCCCGAAAACTTACAATTCTAGAGCGATTATCTTAATAATAAAATTGAATATTTTGTAAACTTTCTTGCGTATACTCGTATCTTTGTAAACTTTACAATGAAAACAAGAAAAAAATGGATATCATTAAAAATCATTAGAAATCATATTATCCCTAATGGAAACCCCGGTACATATAGAAATGCAGAACTGTTGATATTAAGTATAATCTCATAATAAAAGACTGATATAATTGCTTTCTTAGAAATAATTCAAGAGTAGCTTTCGAAGAGGGATTTCAAAGTTGTAAGTGTCATTTGTAATATCAAACAAAACAAAACTTATCACGCAATTCATTGAATTCGTTTACGTATATTGGCCAAAAAACGCACGTACATACATTTCTACTTCAATGCCTCTTTTGCTACCAACTTTTATTTATAAACGCCGAAAGCAAAAAAAAAAAAAACTTTGTATATGTATGCGCGTAACCACTATTTACTCAGACAGCATATTATACGCCAGACAGCCTAATCCACACACAAAAGTCAATTGATTGTCGCCATTTAGTTGCATAAAGTGTGYGATGGCTATTTATAACGATATTGTTGTTGTTACTTTTTTCTAAAATCGCCACTGACGCACGCAAACTTCGGTAGGAGTTAGACCAGTCTGCCAYGCAAGGGAGRATATCACTTTCATCCACTGTACGYGGTGTCGTATTGCAACACCAAAGTCCAGTGCGCTTTGTGACTCCTCTCTGTTCYACTTCCCTCTTTTGGGCAGCCACTTCAAGCGCCACAGCTCGTCAATAACTAATTTGTCCGCTAACACCGATTGGTTGGCGTGGGTCCGCCGCCGCCAGTCAGCCAACAAGCCCGCCAGCCAAAGCGACACGAGACGGTCAAATGCCGATGTTTGCATATTCAAATCGACGGCTGCACGGCGGTAGCCGCCAACTGGTTTGTGGGTTGGTCGGTTGGCTGGTTGACGCTTTGCGGATTGCGGATTGCGCGTTTCAAGCGACTCGTGTGTTATAGGCAGGCGGCAATAGTGGCGGCGTTTTCGAGGCGAATACACATACATACTATTATATTTCCATACATACATACATATGTATGTGTGCAGCAGGTATGTATGATTGCGCTTATATATGTATATAGGGGCCATAGGAAATTGGATACTCAATGTCCATTGCACTCAACTGCGATGCGATTTTGTTTTATTTATTAATGCATTTTTATTGTTGTTGATGCTGTGGCGTTGTTGTTATTGTTACCGACAGCATGCATTGCTACCCATTCATTTTCCCTCAGCTGAATGTTTTCTATTTTTATTTTGTGTCTGCTTTCATATTTAATTTGCCTGAGTAAACGGATTGCCGGTCAGTCAGTCGGCCGGCCGGTCGGTCGATTGCTCGTTTGGGCGGCCTTACTAACGGTTGTCGCTGGATCATATGTTTGTATTGCGGAATTAATTTGTTCGCATTTGCTCASTCGCCAGCGTCAAAGCCAAAAAACACAGACTAAAATTGTAYGTACGAGTAAATGTATGTTGTTGATGTTGTTGGCTGTTGCACACAAATTGCTTGCATTCATTTGCAATTTCGCAGCCACGCSTGCATCGCGCTCGCCTCGTCACATCACCATGAGTGTTCACCGACTCCGGTTTCGTTTCATTTGAATATGGTTAAAATGTTTCGGGCTGCAGTATTATTTCATTGACATTGTCGGTGTAGCCGTTTGGGCCGTAAATGTAATTTTACAAGCAGAAATGTGGCAATGTTTGCATTGCATAAAAAATGGAGCGGCAAGCGGGACAGGGAAATTTGATTTTATTTCATCCATGATGTTGTCTGCTTTTAGGCGCTTAAACAGATACGATAGAGTTTTTGTTGCTGCCGTGTTTTTTACACTGTGCATTATTTTTCTTTTCCTACATACATGTTGTTGCAGCGTCCATGTATTGGCTGTTGTTTCCTGCATTGAAATGTAAATAAAAACGCATAATGCTAAATTCAATTGAACTCCCTAATTGACATTCTGTTCTATTGATCCGTAGAGCCTACAACGCTCTTCCACAAGCTTGCCGACGCCACACTCTTCAGTAATGAAATTGCATTTTTTAAATGGCGCTGAGTTTTTTTTTTTGTGCTTTGATCGCAGCAATTGCAGTTCGGTCACGTGCCATTTTCCGCACACATTTGAGTGTATGTAAGGGGGACTGGCTGTTTAATTACTGTATGCAAATGTAGTTTGGTGTGTCTGTTTAATTTTGCTTTTGCATTACAACGGTGCATTTTCAAAATAGAAASATGCAAGTGAGAGGACATAGCGGCATTTAGATGCGTTATCGATAATTGGAAAATTGAAAATATCGGTACATTGACTATCTTTACATATATACAGCTGCGCGCAATGAGAAAGTTTGGGATAATGTAAAATAAATTTTGATATAGTATATTTTGCACTACATATAATATTGATAATAATAACTTTTACATATTACAGACTATTGCGCTCAGTTTGAAAATGGTAGGTGCATACCGGAACATTGCAGTGAGGAAAAGCAAAAGTGGATTAGCAATCTTAAATAGACCAGAAAAACCTTAAAAAAAAAGTGGAAAATTTATCCTATATGTTTTATAAAACAAGATGAAAATGGAGGTCTCTGAAAGATTCTTTCAGAAGTTGGTGAACGAAGTATTCTAAGAAGAAGGCTACTAAATCATAATTTGTATACTCGCAACCCTCGTWAGGCTCCTTTATTAAAAAAAATTAGGTGGCACGACATCCTAAATTTGCACCGAAACATCTGACCCGGCCAATAGAAAAATGTAAGAACGTACTTTTGACTGAAGAGTGGAAAAATTATCTTTATGACGGGAAAGGGTTGCGAGTGTACGTGTCACATTCCCCTAAAACAGAGTATGTCCCACAATATACTACGAAAGCTTTATAACATAATATATCAATAGAATCAATAGAATTGAGGTTATGGACTATCCAGGTCGATCTACTCATACCATTGAAATCCTTTGGGCTTATATAAAGAAATATGTTTAGAAAGATAAGCACAAAAACAACAACGAGTGGTTAAGGGTGCATGCCGGACTATATCTCCGAATAGGTGCGAAACGCTTCTGAACTCCATATATTGTGATAAAAAAAGGTCATACTACTATTTACTATATGTGGCTACGGACAAATATCACAATATCTTTCAACGAATATTTAATATAACTTTTTCTATTCATTACTGTTTTACTGTTGTTTACTGTAAAAAATTTTAAAGAAATATTGAAAACAATAAACCCTAAATGGCGGTATATAATAAAAAAATCGATAAAGAATATCGATTAATAAAATACCGAAAAATAATAAAAAAACAGAATTTGAATAAATAATAAAAATATCGGTGAAAATAAAAATATTTTCGAATAATAAAAATATCGATAAATAATGAAAAATTATCGATAATTCAATATATCGATTGTTTTCATAGTTCTGTTTGAATAATGTAAGCAGATGTGTATTTTCACAGATAGTGCCCTCTGGAGAATATGAGCGTAATTGCACAGGATGTTCACAATTGAAACATAAAGTTCTGTTGGTGATGTGTAACCAGTATTTGATTCACAGTTATTACATCTCTTTTTTCTTATTTTAATGCACTTTAGCCATTTAATTTCCAATATTCCGACGTTCACGCTATTTAGCATTTTATGTTCRCGGTCAATTTCAAAACTAGACTTTTCAGCCGAGTGCACTGCAATACGTTCAAAATGCTCCGACTCTCTCTACAATGGGTCTAAATAATTTTAGACGTCAGCCGAAAGCCTTTAATGCTAGCGCTGCGTACTTTAGTTTATTTAATAATTTGTTTATTATGTAAGCTTTAATAAAAAAAAAAAAAAAAAAAAAAAATTTTTTTGCTTTAAAAAAAAATCATGTGGCCATTATTTGATCATTCTGTCTGTACTGTATCTGAATATGATAACTAAGTATTTTTCGGTTGTTTTATGTTTAAATCAAAAATAATGGATAAGCTGGGATCAAGATAACTTTTTATGATGTTTCTTTACGATTTTTGTAAAATTAAGATTAGATCGTGTTAACTCAGTTGATGAAATAAAAGTGAACTTTAGAAGACATCCCAAGATTATACCAGTTATCTGGATAAGAAAATATGTCGAAACCGAAGTAGAACTGTCTCCAACTACATTTATATTGTGTGAAAAGTAATATTTCATTGCATTCAATTCAAGTGAAAGGCGTAATCAAGAGTTGTATTCCACCGCACAGTAAATAAAGCGAATGGAGGCGCAACAATTGTATGACAATTTAATTTGTTTATTCTTTCATTCACTTATGGGCACACGCATGCACTCACAAATGCTCGTCCATCGTTCGAATAACATATGATTCTTTAACCACTGCAGTAACACCTCACTTTCTTTCGTTCTTGCCACGTGGGTGACTTCTACTTCTTGCCACTCGTAAAATCTATTTGTTTTTTTTTTTTTTTCCACTCTTCCCCAACCAATTTTTTCGGTTGCAAGACAAACAGTGGCACAATTACGACGACAACAATTCAATCACACAAAGCATACACACACACACTGAATGCACGACCACCGGAGTCGAAACAACTGTTCCGCAGACCGATGCAAGCAGTTCGCGAGGTAAACATTAATTCGTTTAAGCAACAGCATGTTGGTAGCARTGAAATTCATTTTATTGCCATTACCAAGAGAGCAAAGCACGTACATACATATATGTATGGATATAAAGGAATAGGGATAATGACGGTGCAAATAATTAATTACCTGATGTGGTGATGGTGACGCCTGTGATGGCTGCGGCGAAGGACTCGGTGCATGCCCGGGACTACTGCTGGGCGGTGGGCCGCCATGCTGTGATTGATGCGGTGATGCTGGGGGATGAGGATGGCCACCAGGCCCAGGACTAGGTGCCGGYGATGTACCACCGGGCCAAGGTCGATTCGGTTCAGGATACTGCAAATGSAAAAGCAGAGAAAAGARACATTTGTTAATATTGCTTTCAACTTAATTCATATGTAAATACATAAAGGTGTTCATATCATACAGTATGGGAGCAAGATGAGAAGAGACGCGTCATTGCGACGACATATGCAGACGAGGCAAGCGTAAGCGCTTTTGTACATATTTTTGGTGACGTTTTTTGTTTACTGTATATAAAAAATTAATAAGAGAGAAATCGGTAAAATTATAAAGTTCACAATTCAGTGGTGAATAACAGTTTATTGATCGACTGGGATGTGAATCATGGCAGTCAGGTGAAGTTGGTTCGAAAAATTGCATTCAATTTTTATTTTATTTACGAGTAAGCCATTTTAACGCAATCGATCGTGATATATTCGAGTGCGTACTTTTAAAGTATGCATTGAGCATGACTTGGATATCCCTTAAAATGTTTATGGACTTGCCGGTTAAAGCAAAAGCCCACTTGACACCTTCTGTTATACCCACAATTTCGAACTACATGACTGAATTGTAGTCATTTTATTTTGAAGCTGRCTTATGTGTATGGATTACTACAGGAGAAGACTGCTCCTATTCCTGTTTCACCCTTTGATGCGTCAGTGAATATGTAGATTTCGCCGTGGAATTGTAGATCAAWGAAACATTGGTCCAATCTTCTCTACGGGGGGGGGGGAAGGAAAAATTAGTTTAGTTCCTCATGGGTCTCTTTTACTCGGTCGCAGTGCCAGCTTAAGCCGAGCTCATTAACAAGGACGAATATGATACCGCGCCCGTAGAGACGCMTCGATTGGCTCCAATGGCCTAAAATCAAGCACCGGCTGGCCGTAAACGTTGCTCATACTTCACTTGTGGCGGCCTAGTTSACGTATATTTCCTTGCGCCCGTAATCTTCAGCAAGCAGACCCGTTGCACCTGTTCCAGGGTTTTAATACGGCACAATTTCGTTAATRACATCCACCATACCAGTGCAGCATGCGTTAATATTGGGCGGGTGAAAATTTTTAATAAAATAATTTAAATGTATTTTTTGCCAGTCCAGGTCAAATTTGATCAGATGGTACATATACATATGTACATAGTTTAGGATTTGTTCTTTTTGTCATATTTGCAAACTTTACATGTAGTTTTTATGTACCTATGTATATCATTAAATTTACAGTTCTTCACTCTGCCTCCAGACTCAACAAGGCAATAATTTTTAAAAAGTTTTAAGCATATCTTTATTTCTAAAAGTATTGCATGGCATTTTAATTAAGGAAAAAACATGAGAAAACCCAACACATATACATATATACACGTTAAAAAAAATCGAGCCTTAAATTTTTGCGGATTTTTGCAGCCACAAATTGTACAGAATTCAGCAAGGATTTAAAAAACGGCATTGAATTAATTATTATTCATGTACCAGCGAAAACTTTGTAGAACAGTCACTATTAATTTTTGTTATGAATTTTTTTGTGATTGCATACAGAAAAACAACACATTTACATGTTTTTTGATATGGTGGTAAGCAACAAAACTTCTGCGGCAGGACACATACACCTACAACTATTATGAGTGTAAATGTAYACACATGCGCACATTGTTCCATATAGCTCTTTTTCACAATGCAATTTGCATYGCATTTACTTCAGTAGTTTCATTAATCTGCCATTTTTTACAACACGCTGGCATAATGCTCTGATAAACGGCTGGGYGCTTGCTCGTCATAAGTTTCATGTACGTGGGCGTGTGTATTTGTGGAATTTTTTTTCAAATAACTTTTTAAAATATTTATTTATAATTTTTTTGTTTTAACTAAAGTATGCATGCATTTTAATAGAAATTTAATACAGGCGAAGAGTGCGTAGTTTTCTATTGCATTTGTGTGCGTAAATTACAAATTTATTTGTAAATGTTGACCGTTCAGAAATGATGTCAAATGTAATTGTAAGTTTATTAAGCAGAAAAAAAATCAGCTATGCTTTAATGTACTAATTATGATAGATTTGRATCATATTGAGAAAGGAAAATCACATATATATATGTATGAARTTCATGCATTATTTTCAACCTAAAATCGTTTTATGATGCTATAAACTTAAATAATGCTAGGACCCAAAAATCACAAGTCTTGCATCAGCATAGAACTAGTTCTTGTTCCTATTTTTCCTGCTGGGTATTGAATTCGGCCCACACACGCGCACGCACAAAGCAATATTCGACGTTTCACAATTAATTTGGATTGCCTTGGCGCATTTTCAACTTTCATTTCAATCCATTGCATTTGTGTCTTCACAAAAACTATTTCAATTCAGCGAATTATAATAAATCCCAGATATTTTGTTGGTGCTTTATACAAGTATACCATATTGTTATTAGAGTTTTTTTATTTACTATTAACTCATGCTTGATTATTAAATATTTTTCCAGTTATTGAAGTATATTTTATATTTAGGAGCAGTATGTTTGCAGAAGCTGAAAAGCAATAAAAAATATCAAATATTCATAAACAGTGTCTACCAGTCGAGATGACGTGATTTTGACAGCTTGTGGCGGCCATGTGTGTTTACGGAATTGTGTAACATTTTGTTAGTGTTCAGTGAGATTGGTCATKCCAACATGTCACTTTGGTACAACGCTTCGACAACACGATGTTTGCCGACGTCCCCCGGACGATCTCTATTTATTGGATGCAAAGTYTGGCGACTCGTTAACTTCGAGAARTGGTAGCAACGCTCGAGAAGTTGGAAAACAACATTCAGCGTACTAAAGCCGAAATCACAACCGAAATGTGTASAACTATGCAAATGAAGCCGTAGTGGCCATTTAATCGAATYTYGTTCAAATCATAAATGGCACAAAATTTTCTGTACAACAAAAAACAAGAATCTATTTTGACAAATTTTTGTTTATATTTCATTTTGATATCTATCATTCATGTGGGTACACCCTTTACATAGTGTAATAAATAATTATTCGAAAAAAATTAMAAAAAAAAAGTATTCWGTCAATGRCTCTTGTAGTTCGGTAAATATGTAMAAGTATTTAATCAAGAGCTAAAGTGATATTTTTCATACAATGCATACCGGTTGCCATTATTTCCACCAGCATTGTTTGTCTGGCAATTCTTAACGAGCAAAAATGCGTCAATTTCAGTGTAATGCGCACTTTTAAGCTGCAGAAATTATTATTTATTTTATTGTRATTTTTAATTAATTGCGTGACTTGTTGGATTTATATACTTTAATTAATAATTAAATGTTAAATATGTGAGCGCATTGATTTTGAACCAAAACAAGGTTGAAAGTACATTATTTTTACGTAGTGCTCTTGTTCAAGCATTTTTAATGCATAGCATAAATTATGATAGCAACATTTTTAATAAATAAACTTCATATAGACATTGGTAATAAAAAAAACAGCCATCACTTCACCGTGCATCTCTTATAGTACTTGTAACAGGATATAAAAAGTTCTTGACTTTGACTAGTTTAAATGAGAACTATACTGCTACAATGTAAAAAAAAATACCTTCTGAAATTGTAGCATTGTCTTCGAAAGTAATATGTATTTGCCGGATTTCGTGAAGATATCTTTTCAAATAAGAAAAGAATAAGGAAATTT